GGATTGCTGGGTCAAATATATATATATATACACATATACATATACACATATATACTTATATATAGTTATGTTGCCATCTGTAATGTTTTATCAATTACAACCTTGTGAAGAGAGTATATTAATCAAGTTTTTGGATTTTGGGGAATCCAATTAAGAAAAATCATTACATAGTGCAGTTTTAATTTATATTTCTCTTATGAATGAGGTTAATCATATTTTCTCATGTCTATATATAGTTCTATTTCTATCAGTTCCCTGTATTCTATATTCTTTTTTCATTGTTACTCTTTTTAGTCTTGTTTTATCAACTTCTAGGAGCTTTTTATGTAATAAGCACAAATAGAATTTTAATCCCAAACCAGAAAATCTCTAAAGAGGTTCTAAACCAGAGTATTACAGCATCTTCTAGCAACAGACCTTTTTAAAATGAAATCATAAAAAATAATAAAAACATATGAATAAAACTGAGCTGTTCTGTTAAAGTGGAAATGAGAAAAAGTTTACCTTTCTTACAATCTCTCAGATACTTCTGAAAAATCATAAAGCAGCACTGAATATAGCTTGGACCTACATGGTCCAACCTACATGGCTGGTTGTCCTGTGATTCCAGTTTCTAGTAACTCTTTCGGCTAGGAATATTTTCCAGTATCTAACCTGAATCTTTATTAATGGAAATCATACTTCTTTCCACTTGGTATTGTTTTTCAATTTGTATCATTTTACCTCTTCCAATATGAATCTTCATGCATTGTGTAAACACATTACCATCTAACATCTTCTTGTGCCTGCCCTTCCAATGACAGCAGAATTCTCCTTGAAGTCAGGAAGAGGTCTTATTTCCCTTTTTGACCTGGCATAGAACCAGGTATTGTCAATGTATAGCTAAGGACCTATTAATGCCAACTATAATAAAAGACCTCCATAAGTGCTTGTTGAATGAAAAATAAGAGAAAAATTGTTTTACCTCATGTCTTAAGTCACTTTCTCCTCACTGGGACACCATACCTGACACTCACAACTTAAAAGAAGAAATTCATTTTGACTCATGTTTTAGATGTTTTAGTCCATATGTGGTCAGCTGGGATCCAGCTAGAAGCAGAGAAACATTAGAATCTGGATTAACCATCAAAAGGAAAGTAGAAATGGGAGTAATGGTAGCAATGCCAAAAGAAGGGATCGCTTCACATTGAGCAGATGAGTGGCTGATGCTTGGATGCAATGGGAAGATATGCATGTATTTCACAACACTAGCAGCTGACTTGTTCCCTACAAGCTGCGTTTCTCCCAGAAAAGAACTGCTCCATTAAGAAAATGGAAACTTGAGGGTGGGGACTTTAAGGAAGAAAGCAATGATCTTGAAGACTGATCTAGAGAGTGGAAAGAAGAGTAATAGCAGGAAGAGAGAGAACAATGTACCAAAGGAAGTGGGATACAGTTGCAGACTTCTTGGTTAAAGTTGTGAGATGCTTTAATTCCTCTGAGAAAGTTATTCCTACCAAGATGTCAGTGACAATGCATATCCCCTCAGAAGTTTTGGGATCACAAAACCTGATTCCAAAAAAAGGCAACCATTTAATCCAAAGGAATGGCTCTCTAATCATGACATGTTAGACATAAGTGAGAGAAAAGTTAGTAAGAGATATATAGGTAACAGTGTTTTTTTCCGAGTGTCTCAGAAATGATAGTTCTACCTACATATAAGACCAGCCCTCCCTTGGGGAGAAGAAACTGCTTCTTCACCATCACATCTCTTGCAGTATGGCTTAGTGTTGGCTTGCTTGCTGCACAATGTCCTTTTTCTATTCCATTTCATTGTGCTTTGTGGGAATTTGACTTTAAACAGAGGAGATGGGGAGACTGGAAACCATGAAGCCTGGTCATTTTTATTGTAGTCTTCTCCTGAGGGTTTCTGGGGCCAGCTTGGCTTTAGACTGATTTTTTGCCAGTTTTTGTCCAGGAACACTGAATGTGTTCCAAAGATAGTTGGTTAAAAGCCCAGCCACCTCAGAAATTCTGGGAAGGGAGAGGGTAGAGACTGAGGTGGCTTTTCTTGCTTCTGTGGTTGGGAAGTATGCTATGTTGGCCCATGAAAGATGCAAAGAGAGATTTTAGGCTCATGTCCCATTCTTAGACAGAAAAATTGAGCCCCAAAGAAGTAAAATGGCTTGCATAAGGTTATGGGGAGTTGGTGCCTGAATTAGCACTGTGACTCAGTGACCTTATCTCAAAGTTTTAACAGCCATTCTGTGAGAACAGCACAAGTTTGAAGGCAGAAAACCTGTATTTCTGGGTTGACTGTCAGCAGCTGTGTGACATGGAGGAAGTCTTTTGGAGTATTAGTAGCCCTATAATCTATAATTAGTAGCTCTTCATAATCTTCCCCCTACAATATTAAGGATTTAGAATGAGGATATGTTAAGATGATTTTATTGCCTGAAACTGGTTGTAAGTTTGACCATACTTGCTTTCTATTTCTTTGATTCTCATTTCTTTGATTCTCAGGTCTTCTTGTCATCTATTGCTTTTTTCCCCTTTCCTGTTGAGTAGATTAGAGTTCATTGCCAGATTACTCAGAAGACTATTGCAAGGAAGACTCTCAAGGTCAGGCTTCCAGTGGAAAACCTCACCCTGAATTTGCCTTGTCATTGATCCCTTAGTGGAAGGCCTGGTCCAAAAATCAACCCACATTTTTTTGAGGCTAAATAATTCCACACATTTTTTGTATTCCAAAGATCTGCCAGCTCCTGTGAGAGCCATGACAAATATTATTTTGTAGGTCATTGTATTTTTCCTTTACCACAAAATGCTCAGATTTGGAATAATTGGAGCCTAGAAGGCAAATGACTCTGCTTCTGCCCATTCTCTGATGGGTTTTACTCAGTTCTGCCAGCTGCAACTCTCTAGTTGTATGTACTCATGGGCAGGAACAGGAACTATGAACCCAGACAAACTATCAGTTGGTGTAAGTTAAACTCTTCTTGGAGTGAAACTTTCCTCTTTTTAAGGCAAAGTTAAAGATTTATTTGGAAATTAAAGGTAGATCAACTTATTTAGTAAAGTATAAGATAAAATTGTTACTCAGATCATTGAAGCTAAAGAAAAAGTGCATTGTTTGTGTTCTGGATATTTTAGGTCACAATATTCCACGTACACAACACAATCTTCATGTTCCACTGGTTCCATTGGTTTGGGTTTTAAATTCAGTAGTCCTTTCCTTGTTACAGGTTTGAAGTGATTGGTATTTCTTGATTGTGGCTAGCAGGGAAGATTCTAGAATCAGTCATCAATTTATGTCCTGGTGTTGCCACTTACAAGTTACGTGACTTTGAACAAGTTGATTGATTTCTTATGCCTGAGTTTCCTTGTCTGAAAAATGGACATAATCATGTCTACATCTGAACATTATTAGTAAGAGCCAATGAAATAATGTATATAAAAGCATTTGCTATTGTTTATGGCACATAGAGATCAATAAATGTTAGTTATTATTATTATGTGTATCATCATTAACTTTTATCATTTTCACTACATGCTGAAAATAATTTCATTGTTTTTAAACACTTTTACTGAGATATAATTTAACCCACATAAAACAGGCTCATATTCATTATAGTTTTAACTGATAGAAAGGATGATCTAACTCGCTAAGCCTCTCCCCAATGAAACACACAACTCCTCTGACTTCTGTTCTTCCACTGTACTGTAGCAGGCACTTTCTACACTCTGCTTGCATCTATTGGTAATTCATGCATCAATAATTAGTTTAATCTTGTAAAATGTTCATTGCTATTTGGTGTGCATGTATATGTGTGCCTGCATACACCTGCAGCATGTACTTAAGGAAATCCAGTGAAAATATTTTAGACATCGATCAGGCAGAATCAACTCACTGAGTGCATTGACTTTTTGCTACATGGCAACCCTATACTCCAGGGAGTAAAGAGACATGTAAGATTCCCAGCTCTCAAAAAGTAATATATACACATGCATACACAAGTTAACAGGTGAAACATAGAGTCAGGAGACCAGATTTCAATTCCCTTTTTCACTATACACTGACTTTGTGACTTAGGATAAATAACTCAGTCTCAATGACTTGCTTCTCTCAAATGAAAAATCAAGGTAGGAATCTACCCTATTTGATTCATAGCATTGTTACCAGGCTCAATTGTAATAACATATATGAAGGCTATTTGGAAATGATTTGATAGGTTACTATAATTCACAAATATGAATTTCAGTTATATTTAAATGCCAAATTATGTGCTTCAGACATCAGATGCCTTAAGAGGTCCAGATGGATGGCTAAATTATTAGGGAACACTTTGTAGAGGAAAAGAGACATGAACTGAATCATCATTAGATAGGACTTGAGTAGATGAAAAGGAGTGAAAAGAAGAGCAATTTTGCAAAAAGCAAAAACTTCAGAGACTTAGGTGTGTTAGTTCATGTCTGTAATCTACAAGTTCAAGGCCAGCCTGGGCAGCATAATAATCCCTGTCTCAAAACAAAACAAAACCTACAGAGACTGAAACAATCATACAAGTATATAATAAGTGATACAAAACATTAGATAGCATAAAGTCCCTAGGGTAGTTATAATAGACAGTTCCTCTCCCCAAGGGAAGCTAAGAAACTTTAAATAGAAATAGCATGGAGTTCCTTCTAGTAAGAAAGTTAATACCTTGTTAATCTAGGATTATTAGCTCCTTCAAGGCACAGGCCTTGTCCTTGTTCTTTGATCCCTTCCTAATGCTTATTACAGTTCCTGGCACATAGTAGGTGCTCAATAAATATTCAACAAATGAAAGAATGCGTGCATGATGTCCACTCCTGTTTTTGTCTCGCTGCTTTAGTGTTATCTCAATTCTTTTGCCACTTGAGCAAGAATTGGCTTTTTACTCCCTCTGTGTAGTACAATCCCATCTGCTGCTGGGATTTATGAAGTTCTTTCCAATGGTGCTAGTACTGTGTGTGTTTTTTTCTCCATCCTGTTCCAGAAGACTCCTTACCCACAGTGAACAATAAAGTGACCAGCAAGTCTTGTGAGTACAATGGAACCACTTACCAACATGGAGAGCTATTCATGGCCGAGGGGCTCTTTCAGAACCGGCAACCCAATCAGTGCACCCAGTGCAGCTGCTCGGTAAGACCCTGCATCTTAATGTTTCTACTTTCCCCTACCTAAGAGAACTCCCTCTGTACTTGTGTTTTTCTTTAAGCTTACACCATAAGGTATTTGAGTGAAAGATGAATCATACTTAATTCCTAAGTATTCATGCCAATTGAAACTCCCTGATTGTCTTCAACCTTGACCAACTCTGTTGACCTACTCAGACCCAGTCACACACCAGCCTTAAACCTTGGGCAAAGCCTGCTTAAATGGGCAAAGATAAGCTGTTTCATGTGATTTGCACTCCTTTTCATCATAATTATAGCACCTATGCGTTCATCTGAAGGACTTATAATTATTTGAAGCCTTGGAAATGCTTTTTGTAGAAAATTCACTGTAAAATTCTAGGGCTAGTACATCCAATTCACAAGAAAATAGACAGTCTCTTGGTTACCATCTCTGAAGCATTCTACTAACCAGTTAATTCCTAGTATCCTGCAATGAGAAAATTTCATGTTTAATCACAATGATTGCTATGCTGTTACTTGTCAAAAGAACCCCATATACTTCACAAATAAAGCGTATCAATTATGTCTTTACCTAATTATACAGTCCAGAGAATATAATAGTTAGAACTAAAAAATGGAGTAAAGTCCATATTTAAAATAACATATGAAGGAATAAAGTTAGATGCTGAAACTTTTCTGCTATAAGGAACATTAAATATAGGATTGACAAGAAAAGTTGTAGAATGTCTTCCTTTGGGGAATTTGGTAAAAACTATCTCATTAATTTGTATCTCTCAGTATTTCAGTGATTTAGGAAAGTTTTTTGATGTCTTACTTTTCTTATAACTTTTCAGGAAACCTTCTAACCCTAGAAGGACATACTTCTAAGAACTGAGAGCAAGGCTTAAAGAATACAAAAGAATATAAAAGATAGACTTTTAGGAAGTGGGGATTATTACAAAAACAATTGTAACCAGCAAATTGGATCATCTCCCTTGCCTTGTGCTGGGTTGAGCTACTGGATTCAGATTATTTTGTATAATATTGTATCATCCCCAAAAGAGCCCATCTCTTTGATTTGGAAAGGAAACTAGTGAATATTACAAATGGTAGCTATGACAAACATCCTAATTTCCTAATACCTCCAACATTCAGCCGTGGTTTGTTGAGGACCAAGGGATGCAGTTAAACAGAGAAGAGAAGAGCCAAATTATTTGGTGGCTTGGAGGCCCATGGCAACCCCTAATAGAGTATTTTCTATCACCTTGGACCAGGATGCTTGACTAGGATTGATAACTCTCTGAGACTTAGTCTCTGCAGTGGGAAACAGTAAGTAGGAAAAATAATGCATAGTAAAATGTAAGAAGTACCTAGAACAAACTGTGGGAGAGCAGTGCCATGTTCCAAGCCCCTTCTCTGTCCTGGATATTGAGCTGAGCCTGGGACTTAACCTTGGATAATTTTTATCTCAATTCTGTTTCTCTTTGGCAGGAAGGGAATGTATATTGTGGTCTCAAGACTTGCCCCAAATTAACCTGTGCATTCCCAGTCTCTGTTCCAGATTCCTGCTGCCGGGTATGCAGAGGTAGGTTTTACATATCCCAAGACCCTGGATGCTGCCATCCTGAGTAGCAGAACTTAGAAAAGAGGAAACTATCTGTGCAATCTCTTAAGGAAAAGCAATTTTCTTTTTTTTATAGCAAATTAATTTATTTAGTATTTTTTCCATTCCATATCATCAGGAGGATTGATTTCAACTTTCCTTTTACCTACATCAGACGAGTTGGTACTCAAAACTGTACCACCAGACTTCATAAATGATTTGCTCATGGCACATTTGACTTCATCAGAGCCATCTGAATAGATCTGCTGAAATAACTTGTTTAAAGCTGCATCTCCCTCCGACTTCTCATTCCTTTCTTCTTCTTTGATCTCAGCAGCCAATTTATCCCAATTTCTTGTATAATGAGATGATGACGAATATAGGTTCTTTACATCTGCTATGAACTGTTTTGATATAGGCACATCTCCTTGTCCCTCTAGCTTTTCCCATCTCACAGCCTCTGGCTTATTCATTGTAATTTCAATCTTTGTTGAAAGTACTTTAAATGTGCTCTGTTCTGGTATTATAGGATGAAGCAGTCTCAGTTTCAAAGTGTAATCCTCTCCAGAAGGAAGTTTCACCAAAGCAGACAACTCTTTTTCTGAAAATTCCACATTTACATCATTCTTCTGAACATTCTTAATCATAAGTGTTATGATTACTTGAGATTCTGTTTGATACCAGTCATACTTGATTTTTGATTGAGTCCTCACCTCAAATTCTGATCCATTCTCTGCTTCTTGGCATCTTTTAATCCAGACAATAAAATTAGCATCTGCACTCTCTAATTTCTGTCCTTCTGTAAAAGTTTCTAGAGCAGCAGCATAGTTTTTTTCATGATATTCACATATCCCTTTTCTCAGCACAGCAGTGGAATTATTGGGGTTGAGTTTGAGAGAAGTTTTTGCATCAGCAACACCATCACAGTTATTCCCAAGGAGAATGTGACAGTAAGCTCTTTGACAATACTACTGTGCATCATCTGGTTTCTGTTCCAAAGCCTTAGTCAGTTCCTCTAACGCTGCCCGGGGGTCCTCCTCGTCGATCAGACTATCTGAGAAGCTCTGGAAAAACCGCTGGGCTGTTGCAGGTCCTTGCTGTAGCCGCCACCATCCCTAAGTTACTGTTGCAGCTGACTGAGACACTGCCACCGTGGTTACCAGCTCCGCCGCCCGGAAAGGCAATTTTCTATGACAGTCTTGGTTTCTAGAAGTGCTTTTATTCCCAGAAGGAAAAAAATAAAGCATTGATTTCTAAGGGCCACAACCTAAAAGAAACTGAGCTGGAGTGTGGTGGGGAAGGCCAGTGGGAGTTATTCAATGTGAAAGTGATTATCTGTCTTTCCTTAATCCTTTCTAGCTTGGCCCTTAAATTATTGGATTGTAAAACAGAAACCATTTCTTTTTATATGTGATCTTTAAAGGGAGAGTGGACCTTGCACAACATTAATGTGACAATTTTGAAGACTGAGCAAGGTAAATTTAGGTTTTTTAAGATATCACAAGAAAATGATGAAAACTCAGTAAGAACAACATGGGAAGCATCATTTTCTCAAATTATATCTTAAATGGAATCATGATATTCTCAATTTAATCTTCTTCTTTAGATTCTATTTTTGTATTTTTAAACAGGTCCTTTAATAGTGGCTTAATAGGCACTTGCATTACTTACGTTGTAGCTTATTTCACCACAGAGAGTCAACAATTGTTGTTTCTTTTTTTTCATTAAGTTTATTGATACTTTTTAGGTATACAATATGATGACATTCATCATTGAGAATTTGTACCTTTACATGACATATCTTGGTTCTTATTTTTCCCCCTTCCCCTGCCCTCCCTTCAACCTTTCTACCCCTCCCTATTTACAAAGACTTTGTTTCCATTTTTTCATTTTCTCATTTTAATTCCATTCCCTTCAATATCTTAATATTACCTTCTTTTTTTATACCCAGTCATTATATTTACTGAACATCTATTGTATCCTCAACACTGTGCTAGAAGCTTGTTTTACATTGGTAAATATAGTAATTATACAGGACACTGCTAAACCCCATGATATCTTTTATGTGGATCACAAACAGGAACCCTTTAAGAAATCTTACTGCCTTTGCCAGAAAATCTTTGTGAATGTACAGTAATACCTCAGTTCATGAAAGCTTCTGTTTGCAAACAATTCAGTTCACAAACAGAAGTGTTCAGCAAAATTTGGCTTCTGTTTCCAAACTCCACATCAGGTGACAAACAAACCAGGGCCATTTTGTCCACACAAATACAAACACAGCCGTCTTTCCCAAAATCATAAAACAAATTAGGTTCATAAACTGAGGTACAGCTGTACCTCTTTAGCTATGCTACGCTTATGCAGTGCACAACCTGCACAACCATATACTGCACACTTAACTGCAAAAATATATTTTTGTTCTTATGGAACTCACACTTGACTAGAGAAGACAATAATAAACAAATAGTCCAACATCTACATACATGATATAAGTAGCGTGAAGGAAAGAAACAAAGGACTGAGATAGAAAATAGGAGTTTTATTTTAGTTTGAGTGGTCAGGAAGGCATCTGAGGAGGTGACCTTTAAACTCATATCTGAGGGATAAAAAGGAGCCATCCATTCAAAGACTCTGGGTATGGTGGCACATGTCTGTAATCCCAGCACTCTGGAGGCTGAGGAAGGAGGATCTCCACGAGTTCAGGCCAGGCTCAGCTACACAGTGAGTTCAAGGCCAGGCTGGACTACATAGTGAGACCCTCAAAAAAAAACAATAACAAAACAAAACAAAAAAACAACAAAAGCCCAGAGAAGAGCATTCTGGGCAGAGAAAGAAAAGAAATGTCAAGGCCCTCAGGCAGGGAAAAGCTTGGAAGACCAATGTGGTTGGAATATGGCGATTAGGGTTGAAATTGGCAGGATATGAGATGAGGAAGGGGAGATGAACAGGCATTAAACAGTTCAGGGCTTTGAAAACCATGAGAAGTAGTTTTTTTTTTTCATTTTTAGTGCATTGGGTAACCAATGGCAATTTATGAGCAAGAGCATCATAGGAGGCCAGTTGCAACATGATGCACCCCTGTAATCCCAGCTGCTCTAGAGGCTAAGGCATGAGGACCATGAATTCAAGGTCATCCTGGGCAATTTAATAGGGCTATGTCACAAAATAAAATTTTAAAGGGGACTGGGAATATAGTTCAGTGGTAGAGCCCTTGCCTCACATGCATGAGCCCCTTGATTCAATCCCCAACACTGGAACAAAAAGCATGACACAATCTAATTGATGTACTAAAAGATCTCACAGGGTGTTGTGTCCACATTGGAATGGAGAGAGGCAGAATGTAAATGGAGAGACCAGGAAGAAGGTTAGCTTCTTTCTAGCTGGATGACCTTACTCAACCTTTCTAAGAGTCTTTAAAGTGAGAATGACATTAGCAACTACCTCCAAGATGATTGTGAGATTTAAGTGAGGTAATGCAAGAAAAGGGCATAGTGTCTTGCATATCATGAGAAGTCAGTAATAAAACCTTGAAAAATTTTAAGTATGTATATAGCATTGATGGTCAGCCACTGGTGCATAGTCTTCATAGATTTCTACCCAGGCCAAGAGGAAGTAATTCCATTGTTCAGCCAAACTAGAGAACATTTAGAAGATTCCTACATATACTGCCATCTGAACCTTCCAGAAAGATAGCTTTAACCTTGTTACATCCCTCTTCAAAAGTCTATGCTGACACATATCATACTTGCTAAATGCCAGTTCCCAACTCTGAGCACTTCACGTATATGAACTCATTTAACTTCATGACACTCTTGTGAGGTAAGTACTTTTAGTATCCCAATGCAGATGAGGAAACGAATGCAGACAGAGGTTAAGAACCTTGTCCACATTCAGGTAGCTAATATGTTCAGGCACTAAGATTTGAATCCTGGCAGTCTGACTCCAGGCTCTTAACCAAGTCATTCTGCCACTGAAAAGTATGCTTCTTGTTGCTACTGGAATACATGTCAAACCCCCAGCATTGACAGTGAAGACAAGTCATGGTCTGGCCTCAATTCACCTCTACAGGCTGATATTCTTCCATTCGTGCACTTTGGGTTTCTGTCACATTGTTCCTGTACTCTCTATCTTTGTACTGTCTCTCTCTCTCTCTCTCTCTCTCTCTCTCTCTCTCTCTCTCTCTCTGACTTTAACGTGCTTCAGTATGTCCTAGAGAGAGTGTTTACATTTTAGACTTTGGCCCACACCTGCAGATATCTGATTCAGTAGTCTTGGAACTGGACCCAAGAATCTGCATTTAAACAGACCATATCATTCATTTTGTGGCAGGATGGTGGAGTATGGACCACCACTTTGAGAAAACATTTCAAAGATCATGTAGCTCACTGAACATAGTCTGGAATGATGGTTTTATATCTGAGTTTTGCACACCAAAACTCATCCTATGAAATTCTGAAATCTGAATAAACTAATAGAAAAGTAATAAATTTCAATCTCTGACTGGTCAAGCCGTCTAATTCTAATCATATGTTGGCCAAATTTGGTGAATGAGTGGTAGCCATTTTATGACAAGAAACTGAGAGGAAAAGGAGACAAAATGGCTGCCTGCGTGACAGCTGTACATGTACAGTAAAAGTTGGGAGGGAGCAATAATGCCTCTTACTGGAAAATTCCTTCCATCTCTCCATCCTTGCCTGTGAAAATCTTGCTAATACTTCAGAACCTACTTCCAGCCCCCTTAGATTCTAATAGAAGTCATCTTCAGGTTGTATTTTGATAAAAGCTGGAATGCCTTTCTTCTCTGCCTTCTCATTTCCATTTTTAATTTCTGTACTGCTAATATTGTTTAGCCTTCAGAGGTAAGCCTGAAATGCCACTTACTCCATGAAACACCTTTTAATCTTGCAAGCTAGGAGCAAACTTACCTTTTCTCTGTGACCTCTCAACACTTAACCTGTGATTTTTCTAGTAGCATTATTATC